GTGGTGAGTGGTAGTGGTGAGTGGTAGTGGTGAGTGGTAGTGGTGAGTGGTAGTGGTGAGTGGTGAGTGGTAGTGGTGAGTGGTAGTGGTGAGTGGTAGTGGTGAGTGGTGAGTGGTAGTGGTGAGTGGTAGTGGTGAGTGGTAGTGGTGAGTGGTAGCGGTGAGTGGTGAGTGGTAGTGGTGAGTGGTAGTGGTGAGTGGTAGTGGTGAGTGGTGAGTGGTAGTGGTGAGTGGTAGTGGTGAGTGGTAGTGGTGAGTGGTAGTGGTGAGTGGTGAGTGGTGGTGAGTGGTAGTGGTGAGTGGTAGCGGTGAGTGGTAGCGGTGAGTGGTGAGCGGTAGTGGTGAGCGGTAGCGGTGAGTGGTGAGCGGTAGTGGTGAGCGGTAGTGGTGAGCGGGAGTGGTGAGTGGTAGTGGTGAGTGGTAGTGGTGAGTGGTAGTGGTGAGCGGTAGTGGTGAGTGGTAGTGGTGAGTGGTAGTGGTGAGTGGTGAGTGGTAGTGGTGAGCGTTAGCGGTGAGCGTTAATGGTGAGTGGTAGTAGTAGTGGTGAGTGGTAGTGGTGAGTGGTAGTGGTGAGTGGTGAGCGGTAGTGGTATTGGTGAGTGGTAGTGGTGAGTGGTGAGCGTTAGCGGTGAGCGTTAATGGTGAGTGGTAGTAGTAGTGGTGAGCGGTAGTGGTGAGTGGTGAGCGTTAGCGGTGAGCGTTAGCGGTGAGCGTTAGCGGTGAGCGGTGAGCGTCAGCGGTGAGCAGCGCTCCTTACCGTACTGGATCACGGCCTCCGCCTTGGCGTTGCCGTTCTTAGCGGCCAGGAGGAGGTGAGCGGCGGTGACCTCCTCACCAATTTCCAGCGTCATCCCGGCAGTCAGCAGCTCACCAGCTGCACTCACCACGGCCGCGACGGGCACCAAACGCTCACCACCACTCGCCAGCACCAGCCCCTCACGCTCACCACCACTCACCAGCACCAGCCCCTCACGCTCACCACCCGAGCCTCGAACTCAGACAGCCCGCGGTGAGGCCTAGGGGCCTAGGGGCTTCACACAGCCCACGGTGAGGCCTAGGGGCCTAGGGGATTCACAGAGCCCACGGTGAGGCCTAGGGGCCTAGGGGCTTCACACAGTCCGCGGTGAGGCCTAGGGGCCTAGGGGCTTCACACAGCCTGCGGTGAGGCCTAGGGGCTTCACACAGCCTGTGGTGAGGCCTAGGGGCCTAGGGCTTCACACAGCCCACGGTGAGGCCTAGGGGCCTAGGGGCTTCACACAGCCTGCGGTGAGGCCTAGGGGCCTAGGGGATTCACATAGCCCGCGGTGAGGCCTAGGGGCCTAGGGGCTTCACACAGTCCGCGGTGAGGCCTAGGGGCTTCACACAGCCTGCGGTGAGGCCTAGGGTCTCCACACAGCCTGTGGTGAGGCCTAGGGCTCCACACAGCCCGTGGTGAGGCCTAGGGCCTACACACAGCCTGCGGTGAGGCCTAGGGTCTCCACACAGCCTGCGATGAGGCCTAGGGGCTTCACACAGCCTGTAGTGAGGCCTAGGGCCTTCACACAGCCCACGGTGAGGCCTAGGGGCTTCACACAGCCCACGGTGAGGCCTAGGGGCCTAGGGGCTTCACACAGCCCGCGGTGAGGCCTAGGGGCTTCACACAGCGTGCGGTGAGGCCTAGGGGCTTCACACAGCCCACGGTGAGGCCTAGGGGCTTCACACAGCCCGCGGTGAGGCCTAGGGGCTTCACACAGCCTGTGGTGAGGCCTAGGGGCCTAGGGCTTCACTCAGCCCACGGTGAGGCCTGGGGCCTTCACACAGCCTGTGGTGAGGCCTAGGGGCTTCACACAGCCCGCGGTGAGACCTAGGGGCCTAGGGGCTTCACACAGCCTGTGGTGAGGCCTAGGGGCCTAGGGCTTCACACAGCCCGCGGTGAGGCCTAGGGGCTTCACACAGCCTGTGGTGAAGCCTAGGGGCTTCACACAGCCCGCGGTGAGGCCTAGGGGCTTCACACATCCTGCGGTGAGGCCTAGGGGCTTCACACAGCCCGAGGTGAGGCCTAGGGGCCTAGGGGCTTCACACAGCCCACGGTGAGGCCTAGGGGCTTCACACAGCCTGTGGTGAGGCCTAGGAGCTTCACACAGCCTGCGGTGAGGCCTAGGGCCTCCATACAGCCTGCGGCGAGGTCTAAGGGCTCCACACAGCCTGCGGTGAGGCTTAGGGTCTCCATACAGCCTGTGGTGAGGCCTAGGGCCTCCACACAGCCTGTGGTGAGGCCTAGGGGCCTAGGGCTTCACACAGCCCGCGGTGAGGCTTAGGGGCTTCACACAGCCTGTGGTGAGGCCTAGGGGCCTAGGGCTTCAAACAGCCCGCGGTGAGGCCTAGGGGCTTCACACAGCCCACGGTGAGGCCTACGGCCTCCACACAGCCTGCGGTGAGGCCTAGGGCCTCCACACAGCCTGCGGCGAGGTCTAAGGGCTCCACACAGCCTGCGGTGAGGCTTAGGGTCTCCACACAGCCTGTGGTGAGGCCTAGGGCCTCCACACAGCCTGTGGTGAGGCCTAGGGGCCTAGGGCTTCACACAGCCTGCGGTGAGGCCTAGGGAACTCACACAGCCCGCGGTGAGGCCTAGGGCTTCACACAGCCCGCGGTGAGGCCTAGGGCCTCCACACAGCCTGCGGTGAGGCCTAGGGGCCTAGGGTCTCCACACAGCCTGCGGTGAGGCCTAGGGCTTCACACAGCCTGTAGTGAGGCCTAGGGCCTTCACACAGCCTGCGGCGAGGCCTAGGGGCGTCCTCCTCCTCCCCACCCTCTCCCCCACGTGGGTCTCACCGCTGTGCAGGCTCCGTGCCTCCCGCTGCAGGGCCGTGCCTGAGGAGTAGGCCTCAAAGCAGCCCGTGGTGAGGCCTAGGGGCTCACACACAGCCTGTGGTGAGGCCTAGGGCCTACACACAGCCTGTGGTGAAGCCTAGGGCCTCCACACAGCCTCGGTGAGGCCTTGCGGCTCACACACAGCCTGTGGTGAGGCCTAGTGCCTCCACACAGCCTGCAGTGAGGCCTAGTGCCTCCACACAGCCTGTGGTGAGGCCTAGTGCCTCCACACAGCCTGCGGTGAGGCCTAGGGGATCCACACAGCCTGTAGTGAGGCCTAGGGTCTCCACACAGCCTGCGGTGAGGCCTAGTGCCTCCACACAGCCTGTGGTGAGGCCTAGGGGCCTAGGGCTTCACACAGCCTGTGGTGAGGCCTAGGGGCTTCAAACAGCCCGCGGTGAGGCCTAGGGGCTTCCCACAGCCCGCGGTGAGGCCTAGGGGCCTAGGGCTTCACACAGCCCGCGGTGAGGCCTAGGGGCTTCACACAGCCCGCGGTGAGGCCTAGGGGCCTAGGGCTTCACACAGCCCGCGGTGAGGCCTAGGGGCCTAGGGCTTCACACAGCCTGTGGTGAGGCCTAGGGGCCTAGGGCTTCACACAGCCTGCGGTGAGGCCTAGGGGCCTAGGGCTTCACACAGCCCGCGGTGAGGCCTAGGGGCCTAGGGCTTCACACAGCCTGTGGTGAGGCCTAGGGCTTCACACAGCCCACGGTGAGGCCTAGGGGCTCCACACAGCCTGCGGTGAGGCCTAGGGCTCCACACAGCCTGCGGTGAGGCCTAGGGGCTCCACACAGCCTGCGGTGAGGCCTAGGGTCTCCACACAGCCTGCGGTGAGGCCTAGGGGCTCCACATAGCCTGTGGCGAGGCCTAGGGGATCCACACAGTCTGTGGTGAGGCCTAGGGCTCCACACAGCCTGCGGTGAGGCCTAGGGCTCCACACAGCCTGCGGTGAGGCCTAGGGCTCCACACAGCCTGCGGTGGGGCCTAGGGCTCCACACAGCCTGCAGTGAGGCCTAGGGGCTCCACACAGCCTGCGGTGAGGCCTAGGGGCCTAGGGTCTCCACACAGCCTGCGGTGAGGCCTAGGGGCTCCACACAGCCTGCGGTGAGGCCTAGGGGCTCCACACAGCCTGCGGTGAGGCCTAGGGGCTCCACACAGCCTGCGGTGAGGCCTAGGGTCTCCACACAGCCCGTGGTGGGGACTAGGGCCTCCACACAGCCTGTGGTGAGGCCTAGGGGCTCCACACAGCCTGCGGTGAGGCCTAGGGTCTCCACACAGCCCGTGGTGGGGCCTAGGGCCTCCACACAGCCTGCGGTGAGGCCTAGAGCTCCACACAGCCTGCGGTGAGGCCTAGGGGCTCCACACAGCCCGTGGTGGGGCCTAGGGCCTCCACACAGCCTGCGGTGAGGCCTAGGGGCTCCACACAGCCTGCGGTGAGGCCTAGGGTCTCCACACAGCCCGTGGTGGGGCCTAGGGCCTCCACACAGCCTGTGGTGAGGCCTAGGGGCCTAGGGTCTCCACACAGCCTGCGGTGAGGCCTAGGGTCTCTACACAGCCTGCGGTGAGGCCTAGGGGCCTAGGGTCTCCACACAGCCTGCGGTGAGGCCTAGGGGCTCCAGACAGCCTGCGGTGAGGCCTAGGGGCTCCAGACAGCCTGCGGTGAGGCCTAGGGCCCTCCTCCTCCTCCTCCTCCTCCCCACCCTCTCCCCCCACGTGGGTCTCACCGCTGTGCAGGCTCCGGGCCTCCCGCTGCAGGGCCGTCCCCGAGGAGTAGGCCTCCACGCAGCCCGTGGTGAGGCCTAGGGGCCTAGGGGCTCCACACAGCCTGCAGTGAGGCCTAGGGCTCCACACAGCCTGCGGTGAGGCCTAGGGGCCTAGGGGCTCCACACAGCCTGCGGTGAGGCCTAGGGTCTCCACACAGCCTGTGGTGAGGCCTAGGGGCCTAGGGGCTCCACACAGCCTGCGGTGAGGCCTAGGGTCTCCACACAGCCTGTGGTGAGGCCTAGGGGCCTAGGGGCTCCACACAGCCTGCAGTGAGGCCTAGGGCTCCACACAGCCTGCGGTGAGGCCTAGGGGCCTAGGGGCTCCACACAGCCTGCGGTGAGGCCTAGGGCCCTCCTCCTCCTCCTCCTCCTCCTCCTCCCCACCCTCTCCCCCCACGTGGGTCTCACCGCTGTGCAGGCTCCGGGCCTCCCGCTGCAGGGCGGTCCCCGAGGCGTAGGCCTCCACGCAGCCCGTGGTGAGGCCTAGGGGCCTAGGGGCTCCACACAGCCTGTGGTGAGGCCTAGGGCTCCACACAGCCTGCGGTGAGGCCTAAGGGCTCCACACAGCCTGTGGTGAGGCCTAGGGGCCTAGGGTCTCCACACAGCCTGCGGTGAGGCCTAGGGACTCCACACAGCCTGTGGTGAGGCCTAGGGGCTCCACACAGCCTGTGGTGAGGCCTAGGGGCCTCCTCCTCCTCCTCCTCCTCCTCCCCACCCTCTCCCCCCACGTGGGTCTCACCGCTGTGCAGGCTCCGGGCCTCCCGCTGCAGGGCCGTCCCCGAGGCGTAGGCCTCCACACAGCCTGCGGTGAGGCCTAGGGGCCTAGGGGCTCCACACAGCCTGCAGTGAGGCCTAGGGCTCCACACAGCCTGCGGTGAGGCCTAGGGGCCTAGGGGCTCTACACAGCCTGCGGTGAGGCCTAGGGCTCCACACAGCCTGTGGTGAGGCCTAGGGGCCTAGGGTCTCCACACAGCCTGTGGTGAGGCCTAGGGGCCTAGGGGCTTCACACAGCCCGCGGTGAGGCCTAGGGGCCTAGGGTCTCCACACAGCCTGGGGTGAGGCCTAGGGCTTCACACAGCCTGTAGTGAGGCCTAGGGCCTTCACACAGCCTGCGGCGAGGCCTAGGGGCGTCCTCCTCCTCCCCACCCTCTCCCCCACGTGGGTCTCACCGCTGTGCAGGCTCCGGGCCTCCCGCTGCAGGGCCGTCCCCGAGGCGTAGGCCTCCACACAGCCCGTGGTGAGGCCTAGGGCCTCCACACAGCCCGTGGTGAGGCCTAGGGGCTCCACACAGCCTGCGGTGAGGCCTAGGGCTCCACACAGCCTGTGGTGAGGCCTAGGGGCCTAGGGTCTCCACACAGCCTGTGGTGAGGCCTAGGGGCCTAGGGGCTTCATACAGCCCGCGGTGAGGCCTAGGGGCCTAGGGGCTCCACACAGCCTGCGGTGAGGCCTAGGGCCCTCCTCCTCCTCCTCCTCCTCCCCACCCTCTCCCCCACGTGGGTCTCACCGCTGTGCAGGCTCCGGGCCTCCCGCTGCAGGGCCGTCCCCGAGGCGTAGGCCTCCACGCAGCCCGTGGTGAGGCCTAGGGGCCTAGGGGCTCCACACAGCCTGTGGTGAGGCCTAGGGCTCCACACAGCCTGTGGTGAGGCCTAGGGTCCTAGGGTCTCCACACAGCCTGTGGTGAGGCCTAGGGGCCTAGGGTCTCCACACAGCCTGCGGTGAGGCCTAGGGGCCTAGGGTCTCCACACAGCCTGTGGTGAGGCCTAGGGGCCTAGGGGCTCCACACAGCCTGCGGTGAGGCCTAGGGCCTCCACACAGCCTGCGGTGAGGCCTAGGGGCCTCCTACTCCTCCCCACCCTCTCCCCCCACGTGGGTCTCACCGCTGTGCAGGCTCCGGGCCTCCCGCTGCAGGGCCGTCCCCGAGGCGTAGGCCTCCACGCAGCCCGTGGTGAGGCCTAGGGGCCTAGGGGCTCCACACAGCCTGCAGTGAGGCCTAGGGCTCCACACAGCCTGCGGTGAGGCCTAGGGGCCTAGGGGCTCTACACAGCCTGCGGTGAGGCCTAGGGCTCCACACAGCCTGTGGTGAGGCCTAGGGGCCTAGGGTCTCCACACAGCCTGTGGTGAGGCCTAGGGGCCTAGGGTCTCCACACAGCCTCCGGTGAGGCCTAGGGCTTCACACAGCCTGTAGTGAGGCCTAGGGCCTTCACACAGCCTGCGGCGAGGCCTAGGGGCGTCCTCCTCCTCCCCACCCTCTCCCCCCACGTGGGTCTCACCGCTGTGCAGGCTCCGGGCCTCCCGCTGCAGGGCCGTCCCCGAGGCATAGGCCTCCACACAGCCCGTGCTGCCACACAGGCACAGAGGCCCGTCCATGGACACGGCCACATGGCCAAACTCGGCAGCGCAGAACGAGCTCCCGTGCAGCAACTCGCCGTGATGCACGATACCTCCTCCTATGCCTGGTGGTGGTGGGCGGAGGTGGTGGTGGGGGGGGTGGTGGTGGGGGGGTGGTGGTGGTGGTGGGGGGGCATTGGTAGGAAAGACAAAGACGGGAGGGTGAGTGGGGGGAGCGTGTGGGTGAGAGCTCACTCACTCACCCACTCACCCACTCACTCACTCACTCACCCACTCACTCACTCACCCACTCACTCACTCACTCACCCACTCACTCACTCACCCACTCACCCACCCACTCACCCACCCACTCACTCACCCACTCACTCACCCACCCACCCACTCACCCCCCCACCCACTCACCCACTCACTCACCCACCCACTCACTCACCCACCCACCCACTCACTCACCCACTCACTCACCCACCCACCCACCCACTCACCCACCCACCCACTCACCGGTCCCAGTCACCACGGCAACAAAGTCATCCACTCCGCGGGCGACTCCGAACCTCCGCTCGCCCAGCGCTGCACAGTTGCCATCATTGTCCACCCACACGGGCAGGTGGAGCGCCTCGGAGAGAGGCGACCTCACGTCCACCGAGGTCCACTCAGATATGATGGCGGTGGCATGAAGGATCACTCCCTCCTGAGAGTCCACACGGCCTCCTGTAGAGACGCCTGGGGGTGGTGGGTGGGTGGGTGGGTGGGGGGGTGGGTGAGTGGGGGGGTGAGTGGGGGGGGGGGTGGGTGGGGGGGTGAGTGGGGGGGTGAGTGGGTGGGTGAGTGAGTGGGTGAGTGAGTGGGTGAGTGAGTGGGTGAGTGGGTGAGTGAGTGAGTGAGTGGGTGAGTGAGTGGGTGAGTGAGTGGGTGAGTGAGTGAGTGAGTGGGTGAGTGAGTGAGTGGGTGAGTGGGTGGGTGAGTGAGTGAGTGAGTGGGTGAGTGAGTGAGTGGGTGGGTGAGTGAGTGGGTGAGTCAGTGGGTGAGTGAGTGGGTGAGTGGGTGAGTGAGTGGTTGAGTGAGTGAGTCAGTGGGTGAGTGAGTGGGTGAGTGGGTGGGTGGGTGAGTGAGTGAGTTGGTGAGTGAGTGAGTGAGTGGGTGAGTGAGTGGGTGAGTGAGTGGGTGAGTGGGTGAGTGGGTGAGTGAGTGAGTGACTGAGTGAGTGAGTGAGTCAGTGCGTGAGTGGGTGAGTGAGTGGGTGAGTGAGTGGGTGAGTGAGTGAGTGAGTGGGTGAGTGGGTGAGTGGGTGAGTGAGTGGGTGAGTGAGTGGGTGAGTCAGTGGGTGAGTGAGTGGGTGAGTGGGTGAGTGAGTGGGTGAGTGAGTGAGTGAGTCAGTGGGTGAGTGGGTGAGTGAGTGACTCACCCACACCGAGTATCCTGCAGTTGAGGGACAGTGCCTGACTCATCCCGTCATGGCACAGGGAAAGCATCAACTTCATCCTCTCCTCGTACGTGCCGGGATTCTCCACCTGGACCTTCCACATAATGTCTCCCTGCAGAGACACACACACAGAGACACACACACACACAGAGACACACACACACACAGAGACACACACACACACAGAGACACACACACAGACACACACACACAGACACACACACAGACACACACACAGACACACACACACAGACACACACACACACACAGACACACACACACACAGACACACAGACACACACACACACAGACACACACAGACACACACACAGACACACACACACCACACACACACAGTCACACACACACCACACACACACAGACACACACACACACAGTCACACACACACACACACAGTCACACACACATACACAGTCACACACACAGACACACAGTCACACACACAGTCACACACACACACAGACACACACACACAGTCACACACACACACAGACACACACACACAGTCACACACACACACAGACACACACACACAGTCACACACACACACAGACACACACACAGACACACACACACAGACACACAGACACACACACAGACACACACACACAGACACACAGTCACACACACACACACAGACACACACACACAGACACACACACACACAGACACACACACAGACACACACACACAGACACTCACACACAGTCACACACACACACACAGACACACACACACAGACACACACAGACACACACACAGACACACACACACAGACACACAGTCACACACACACACACAGACACACACACACAGACACACACACACACAGACACACACACAGACACACACACACAGACACTCACACACAGTCACACACACACACACAGACACACACACACAGACACACACAGACACACACAGACACACACACACACAGACACACACACACACAGTCACACACACACACACACAGACACACACACACACAGACACACACAGACACACACAGACACACACACACACAGACACACACACACAGTCACACACAGACACACACAGACACACACACACACAGACACACACACACACAGTCACACACACACACACACAGACACACACACATACAGACACACACACACACAGACGTTCAACCAAGTGTGTCAATCAGTGGCTTGCGAATCTCTGACAAACCCCCCCCTCCCCCCCACACTCCACCCCCAACCCCCCCACAAAGATCGCAGGCGAATCGATAAATCTGCGATCCCAGGAATCCCCCAGGGGCCACGAGGGGTCTTGCAAGCGCTCCCGCTCGTGCAGTCATTCAGAGAGGCCCGGAATCATCGGCCGGCGATGCGACGGAGGCCGCACAGCATTGGGCGATTCAGCGGCCGTCTGGAACGTTCTCCCTCTGTGTCTGTCTCTCTCTCTCTCTCGATGTCGGGGTAGCCACCGCAGGCTAGGTAGCAGTGCGGCGAAAGTTACAACAACAAGGGGGGTTCAGGGTGGTGGTGGTGGTGGTGGTTGTTGGTGTTGTTGGTGTTGTTGACCAGATTTTGTTTTGTGTGTGGGTGTGTGTGTGGTGTGTGGGTGGGTGGGTGGGTGTGTGGGTGGGTGTGTGGGTGTGTGGGTGGGTGTGTGTGTGGGTGGGTAAACTAAGCACGAAGGGCTGCGGTTGTGATGTTGTGGGCTGACAGCTGCCGCTTAGGGGCGGCAGGGGGGAGTGGTGTGTGGGAGCGAGCTAAACCGGTCACTCATCCGCTCACTCACTCACTCACCTACTCATCCACCCACTCACTCACTCACCTACTCATCCACCCGCTCACTCACTCACTCACCTACTCATCCACCCGCTCACTCACTCACTCACCTACTCATCGACCCGCTCACTCACTCACTCACCTACTCATCCACCCGCTCACTCACTCACTCACCTACTCATCCACCCGCTCACTCACTCACTCACCCACTCACTCATCCACTCACCCACTCACTCACTCACCTACTCATCCATCCGCTCACTCACCTACTCATCCACCCGCTCACTCACTCACCTACTCATCCACTCACTTACTCATCCACCCGCTCACTCACTCACTCACCTACTCATCCACTCACCCACTCACTCACTCACTCATCCACTCACCCACTCACTCACTCACTCATCCACTCACCCACCCACTCACTCACTCATCCACCTACTCATCCACTCACTCACTCACTCATCCACTCACTCACTCACTCATCTACTCATCCACTCACTCACTCACTCACCCACTCACTCACTCACCCACTCACCCACTCACTCACTCACTCACCCACTCACTCACTCACTCACCTACTCATCCACTCACTCACTCACTCACCCACTCACTCACTCACTCACCCACTCACTCACCCACTCACTCACCCACTCACTCACCCACTCACCCACTCACTCACCCACTCACCCACTCACTCACTCATCCACCCACTCACCCACTCACTCATCCACTCACTCACCCACCCACTCTCCCACTCCTCCACCCACTCACTCACTCACCTACTCATCCACTCACTCACTCATCCACTCACCCACTCACTCACTCACCCACCCACTCACCCACCTACTCATCCACTCATCCACTCACTCACTCACCTACTCATCCACTCACTCACCCACTCACTCACTCACTCATTCATCCACTCACCCACTCACTCACTCACCTACTCATCCACTCACTCACTCACTCACCCACCCACTCACATACTCACCCACCCACTCACTCACCTACTCATCCACTCACCCACTCACTTACTCACCCACTCACTCACCCACTCACTCACCCACCCACTCACCCACTCCTCCACCCACTCACTCACCCACTCACTCACTCACCTACTCATCCACTCACTCACTCATCCACTCACCCACTCACTCACTCACCCACTCACCCACCTACTCATCCACTCATCCACTCACTCACTCACCTACTCATCCACTCACTCACTCACCCACCCACTCACATACTCACCCACTCACTCACCCACTCACTCACCCACCCACTCACCCACTCCTCCACCCACTCACTCACCCACTCACTCACTCACTCACCCACTCATCCACTCACTCACTCATCCACTCACTCACTCATCCACTCACTCATCCACCCACTCATCCACTCACTCATCCACTCACTCACCCACTCACCCACTCACCCACCCACTCACTCATCCACCCACTCATCCACTCACTCACCCACTCACTCATCCACTCACCCACTCACTCACCCACTCACTCACTCACTCACCCACCTACTCATCCACTCACTCACTCACTCACCCACTCACTCACTCACCCACTCACCCACCTACTCATCCACTCATCCACTCACTCACCCACTCACTCATCCACTCACCCACTCACCCACTCACTCACTCACCCACTCACCCACCCACCCACCCACTCACCACCCCACCCACCCCACCCACCTTACTGGTGATGATGGCGACTCTGAGATTTGTGCCTCCCAGGTCTATCGCCAGGGCACTCTGGACCTCCAGGATGTGGTCGATGTCCCTGGACACGGAGTCTCGCATGCGGGGAAATGTGAAGCTCTTCTGTACGCTCGATCCCAAGGGGACCTCCAACAAGAAGCGGAGGATTCGGGGAACAGCTTGGCCATCACCGTAGATCTTGGAGCTGTGCGTGGAGAGGGGTGGGTGGGTGGGGTGAGTGGGTGGGTGGGTGGGTGGGGTGAGTGGGTGGGTGGGTGGGTGAGTGGGTGAGTGGGTGAGTGAGTGGGTGGGTGGGTGGGTGAGGGGGTGAGTGAGTGGGTGGGTGGGGGGGTGGGTGGGGGGGTGAGTGAGTGAGTGAGTGGGTGGATGAGTGAGTGAGTGGTGAGTGAGTGGATGAGTGAGTGGTGAGTGAGTGGTGACTGAATGAGTGGTGAGTGAGTGGTGAGTGAGTGGTGAGTGAGTGGGTGAGTGAGTGAGTGAGTGGGTGAGTGAGTGGGTGAGTGGTGAGTGAGTGAGTGGTGAGTGAGTGGTGAGTGAGTGAGTGGTGAGTGAGTGAGTGGGTGAGTGGTGAGTGAGTGGTGAGTGAGTGAGTGGTGAGTGAGTGGGTGAGTGAGTGGGTGAGTGAGTGAGTGGGTGAGTGAGTGAGTGAGTGGGTGAGTGGTGAGTGAGTGAGTGGGTGAGTGAGTGAGTGGGTGGGTGGGTGAGTGAGTGAGTGAGTAGGTGAGTGGGTGAGTGAGTGGGTGAGTGGGTGGGTGGGTGGGTGAGTGAGTGGGTGGGTGGGGTGGGTGAGTGGGTGAATGAATGAGTGAGTGGGTGAGTGAGTGAGTGGTGAGTGAGTGAGTGGTGAGTGAGTGAGTGAGTGGGTGAGTGGTGAGTGAGTGGTGAGTGAGTGAGTGGTGAGTGAGTGTTGAGTGAGTGGCGAGTGAGTGGTGAGTGAGTGAGTGAGTGACTGAGTGAGTGGTGAGTGAGTGGTGAGTGAGTGGTGAGTGAGTGAGTGGTGAGTGAGTGGTGAGTGAGTGGGTGAGTGAGTGAGTGAGTGGGTGAGTGAGTGGTGAGTGAGTGAGTGGGTGAGTGAGTGAGTGAGTGGGTGAGTGAGTGGTGAGTGAGTGAGTGGGTGAGTGAGTGAGTGGGTGAGTGAGTGAGTGGTGAGTGAGTGGTGAGTGAGTGAGTGGTGAGTGGGTGAGTGAGTGAGTGAGTGGGTGAGTGAGTGAGTGGTGAGTGAGTGAGTGAGTGGGTGAGTGAGTGAGTGGGTGAGTGAGTGAGTGGTGAGTGAGTGGTGAGTGAGTGAGTGGTGAGTGAGTGGTGAGTGAGTGGTGAGTGAATGGTGAGTGAGTGGCGAGTGAGTGGTGAGTGAGTGAGAGAGTGGTGAGTGGTGAGTGAGTGAGTGGTGAGTGAGTGGTGAGTGAGTGAGTGGTGAGTGAGTGGTGAGTGAGTGGTGAGTGAGTGAGTGAGTGATTGGTGAGTGGGTGAGTGAATGAGTGAGTGAGTGGGTGAGTGAGTGAGTAAGTGAGTGAATGACTGAGTGAGTGAGTAGGTGAGTGAGTGGTGAGTGAGTGGTGAGTGAGTGAGTGGGTGATTGGTGAGTGGGTGAGTGAGTGAGTGGTGAGTGGGTGAGTGGGAGGGTGGGTGGGGGGGTGAGTGGGTGGGTGGGGGGGTGAGTGGGTGGGCGGGTGGGTGAGTGGGTGAGTGAGTGGGTGAGTGGGTGGGTGGGTGGATGAGTGAGTGGGTGAGTGGGTGGGTGGGTGGGTGAATGAGTGGGTGGGTAGGTGGGTGGGTGGGTGAGTGAGTGGGTGAGTGGGTGAGTGAGTGGGTGAGTGGTGAGTGAGTGGGTGAGTAGTGAGTGAGTGGTGAGTGGGTGAGTGAGTGGGTGGGTGGGTGGGTGATTGGTGAGTGGCTGAGTGAGTGAGTGATTGGTGAGTGGGTGAGTGAGTGAGTGGTGAGCGAGTGAGTGGGTGAGTGGTGAGTGAGTGAGTGAGTGGTGAGTGAGTGAGTGGTGAGTGAGTGGGTGGGTGGGTGCGTGAGTGGATGAGTGAGTGAGTGAGTGGGTGAGTGGATGAGTGAGTGAGTGGGTGAGTGAGTGAGTGAGTGGGTGGGTGAGTGGGTGACTGAGCGAGTGAGTGAGTGAGTGAGTGAGTGGGTGGGTGAGTGCGTGAGTGAGTGAGTGAGTGGGTGAGTGAGTGAGTGAGTGGGTGAGTGGTGAGTGAGTGAGTGAGTGGTGAGTGAGTGGTGAGTGAGTGGTGAGTGAGTGGTGAGTGAATGAGTGAGTGAGTGAGTGGGTGAGTGAGAGAGTGAGTGGTGAGTGAGTGGTGAGTGAGTGGTGAGTGAGTGAGTGGTGAGTGAGTGAGTGGTGAGTGAGTGAATGAGTGAGTGAGTGAGTGGGTGGGTGGGTGAGTGGGTGAGTGAGTGGGTGGGTGAGTGAGTGAGTGAGTGAATGAGAGGGTGATTGAGAAACTGGGTGAGTGGGTGGGTGAGTGAGACACTGGGTGAGTGAGTGGGTGAGTGGGTGGGTGAGTGGGTGACTGAGCGAGTGGGTGAGTGAATGAGTGAGTGAGTGGTGAGTGAGTGAGTAGTGAGTGAGTGGTGAGTGAGTGGTGAGTGAGTGGTGAGTGAGTGGTGAGTGAGTGAGTGAATGAGTGAGTGAGTGGTGAGTGAGTGAGTGGTGAGTGAGTGAGTGAGTGGTGAGTGAGTGAGTGAGTGGTGAGTGAGTGAGTGGTGAGTGAGTGAGTGGTGAGTGGTGAGTGAGTAGTGAGTGAGTGGTGAGTACCAGGGGTATTGCTTGCCGTGCTGCAGGTGAAGTGCATGAGTGATCTTGCCCTTGGTGTCAGCATCTCGTACATGGAGCACATTCTCTCCTGTACAGGGGAGCACACTCACTCACTCACTCACCACTCACCACTCACTCACTCACTCACCCACTCACCCAGTGTCTCACTCACCCAGTATCTCACTCACCCACTCATCCACTCACTCACCCACGCACTCACTCACCCACTCACCACTCACTCACCCACTCACTCACCCACCCACCCACTCACTCACTCACCCAGTGTCTCACTCACCCAGTATCTCACTCACCCACTCATCCACTCACTCACCCACGC